CTGTTGAAAAGTTCCCCGGAGTTGGACGACGTAATTGAGGGTCGTGATGTTTAAGGAGTCGGAGTCTGCCCTTATCAGGCCCGTAGCAACGGTTTCAAAAGCGGGGGGGGGGGGACCTCCCAAACAAATCTGACAAGCAAAAAAAAAAAAAAAAAAAAAAAGAAAACTAAAACTGTCCCCAAAAGTGGGGGGCCAATTTTCCAATTTCCAATTTACTGTTCAAATCCTGGAATTTGCCTGTCCTTGACCTTACAACATCAAAAAGTGGAGGGGGTGGGGACCAGCATCTAGAGGGAAATTAACTATAACAAAATCTATACTCAGAAGTGGCCTGCGTTCTACGGGCCTGCTTGTCGGGGTTAACAAACTGTCTATTTCCTCAGTCCCTTCGTAATATATTTTAATACCGTTCAGATATAGTCTTAGAGTAGCATATGTATTGATTCATTTACCCCCCCCCCTCCTCCCACACACGCCTCCTGTAAACGATCGAGTCTATAATCTTCCTGCTAGGGATAAAAATAAAGATGTAACAAACAAGCCGGATATATGTTTTAATACCTTTCCCTTATTCAACATATTCATTGTTCAAGAACACGGATTCACAAACACATACACACACATATCCCTTGAAAATTAGCAGGGGAATATACCGGTATGTACAAAAGCGAGGACATAGTGTAACTGTTATCGTCAAAGAATCCAATATTAACAATTAATCAATCCCTCAATATCAGCTGTTTATTTAAAGTCAAGAGTAAAATTTTACATAAATGTACATCTAAGCGGAAAAATATTTTAAAGTTATTTTTTTTCACTTTCCAGCTGAAGTCTAATATTAACTCGTCTTGCTATAATGTATATGGCAGTGGCCATCAAAGTCCTCCATACACTGAAGCACACATATTAATAGTGCGACATAAGTAGTTAAATTCTAAAGTATTGGATATATGAGCTGCATATTTGAAATGGAATCTGAATTTCAATTTGAAGCTTTAAATGCTGCTAGCGATTTCTACAAAAATCCTACGAACAACAATATTGCTAACGCAGATACTGCAGTAACTCGCCTTCTGGGGAAAGATGAGTCCTATACATTTCATGAAAAAGTGGATAAAAGTTGTCTCGTTGATGGTAAAAAGAAGAATTCTTTGAAGGATTATAATTCTGATTTGGGACTGCGAATCGACCTACAAAATTCCCATACAAAGACATGTGATGGGAGAAATAACTTTCGCCAACATCCAGATACAACTGAACGGTATCTCCAAACCTTCAACGATCGCCGAGGTACACTTCCAATGTTTCGTTCCCATTCCTGAAAACACGATTAGACGAGCTTTTAGTCAGAGCTGGAAGAATAAACAAAGAATATTTGTGTACAAAAGAATTTAAAAATGAAGAACATGATGTAATGAACACGATACTGACAGCTTTGTGATTTGACAAAGTTTTTAAAAGTATGAATATGTCGTCTGTTATATATATATATATATATATGCCATCAATTTTTCTAGCACGAACTTATGTCGGAGAAGAAATACTTCAACAAGCATATGATAAACTTTGATAATTTACATTTGTGTATGTACCTTTTCATATAAAATATACTAGAAAGGGTTCTAGTTTTTTTTTTTATTATTAAAAAAAGGTCACCGAGTCTTAATTGACGGTCACATGAGTATCATGAGTTTCTCAGGCTATAGCCACTTTGAACCCACCTGGAACTGAGGTAAGGGCCATGGGATATTTTGGTACACTGGAGCAAATTGTGCATTATAATCAGGGAGATATCCATGGGTAAGGAGGATTTTTGGGGCTAAGTAATTTCAATACATGACCTGGGACCTAACATGAATTTTACAATTAGTTAGATTTTCAAAAATATATCCTCAGTATATGACCAACTTAGCCTACACACTGGACCCAGGAAATATAAATTTTGGTAAAGGATGAAGTACCTGGTACTCATTATATAATCATACGAACAGGTTGCCTGCTAGATGGCCACGAGTAAAGATTTTTGTACTGTAAGTACAATTTATGCAGGTACATAGCAACGGGGGGAGGGGGGGCAGGGGGCTGGCACCCCACTTTTTTCCAAAGACTCTTTTTTCTATTTGAAATCTTAATTGAAAGGCCGCCCCCCCCCCCCACCACTTTTTGTTGTAGAATAGTCAAATAAGGGTTTTGTAGTAGTGTATGAATAAATTTGGTACTGAAAGAAGTCCCCCCCCCCCCCCCCCCCCCCCCGAAATAGGATTTTCGAGTTTGGACAATTTTCATTTATCCTTTTTTTTTTTTTTTTTTGCTTGTCAATTTTTTTTCAGGATAGTTGAATTTTTTTTTTCTCTGGTTGACCCCCTCAATTTCAAAAACGATGCTACGTCCCTGTTATGACCAACTTAACCCCACACCGACACAAAGGTCGTGGCCTTAAGAAGTTTACAATTTGAGTAAACTTCCAATATCTAGAATAGATTAGTCTTTCACAAGATATTTTCCTTGGGTTTCCCTCCAAAACTGTTAGATGATTGAGATTAATAATGGAAAATATCACCTTCGTCTTTGTCAACAGATCCAACAATTGTGTGATGATTGTACTTCATCTTTTAGTACTTTGATTTTTCTGCAAGGGCACTCCTCAATGCTTCTCACCTACCATTTTTATCTGTAGTGTAAGCCAATAATAAAATGTCCGTTCTAAACTCTGTAGGTTTACAGAAGGTAGCTATAATATATATAGGTTAGATGTTGAATTTAAATGTTAGAATTAAAATAATTTGATGTTTTTTTTTTTCTTTTGAAATTACAAAATTATTAAATATATGACTGGATCGTACCTTTCCGAACGTCAGTTAATCAGTAGGTGAGCGACCCTAGGTTGTCGCTCTAGTGCTTCATCCAAATACCTGTAGAACAGGTACAATGATGCACATAAAGTGGCAAAATTTTTCGTCTGAATGGAACGTCTGAGTCTTTCTTATCGAACGTCAATATTGTTACATAATGACACATCCATTTCTTCAGAAACGAGAAAGCAATATTCGTTGCAATGTTTTAAGACACACCATTTTATGCAACTATTTATTTATATATTTATCGATTTAGTTTGTTATTCATTTATCTTTTGCCGCTGGCCTCCATATCAACGACTGAATGCAAATAAGATTTTGCTGATCCCGCCCACAGTGTGACGTAAGCGGTCCAATATCTCGTCCACAGGTCCAATATCTCACTCTGAGGTCAAACGTCGATTTTTTTTTTTATGACCGCTCAGTGAAACATTAGGAATGTTAGACTTTTTTTTAGTTTAGATTTATATAGGAACGAAAATTTTTAAAGGTATACCAACGTTTTTTATTTACATATTGAAGTAGACTGCCAATTTAATTGGCTATTGCATTTATATGTACCCGTTCTATAAGGTATTACAATGAAGCATGTGACCGCTTTTTCCTTTCTGAAGAAATTGGAGTTTTACATGTATAATGTAACAACCAACATTTTAAAAAAGTTCAAACGGAAAATTTTACCACTTAAAATTATGCGCAACATTATTAGACACCCCACTCTCTGTGACTAGCAACGCGAGTTATGCTGAATGGGGATATCATGAAGTTTGAAGAGAGTGTAAGAGACTCTCCGCTTCTGTAAAACTCACGCATTGCAATGAATATATATATACATACATGTACATGTATTTGTCATGTCTATTGCAGTTGTCACAACAGGTGTATCGATCGAACACGCGTTTACCCTCTCTTTATGTAGACTACCAATCTGCAGGCATGTTCACGAAGCTATCTTAGGACTGTGATGTGTCCTAAGAACGTCTTAGGAAATATCTTAGTCTTGAGTCAGTTTCTCGAAGCTTTCCTAAATCTAGGACCTCGTCATAAGTTCGTCCTAACTTTAGGGCAACATAAATCATATCCTTAGATCATCCTAAGTTTGTGGTGATGCTTATTTTTCTGCGCATCGCAAGTATAAGCGACAATTTTGCGTTCTTCAACAGTCTGTGTATTAGCTGACATGGCCGTAGGAACCGGCCGGGTGGGGGCGGGGGCTGTGCCCCCAAATAATTTTGCCGATATATAGAATATTATAAAGAGCATAGCTACTATTTGCTTGTGCCCCTCAATAATAATGTCTGATACATAAAAAAGTGAAAATTATTCCGTTATTTTCATATTTCAAATAATGAAACATTTCCCTGTTTGGATACTAAAGTACATGGTTTCGAGTCCTGCAAAATTCATTTCATATTTTTTATTAGTTTATTTTTCAAAAAATAATTCAGACTTTTATAATACGTCATATCATAATCTTCATTGTGGTAAATTACTGAATTCAAGATTACTGTTTTTTATCTTTTGAGTTACCCAACATGTTGTAGATATTATTGCTGAAACACCGTTTTCAAAATAAAAATGAAATAAAAATCTTTCACTTTGATAGGAAAAAATCGCTTGTTTCGTTGCGACTTACATGGGGTATTAAATGTTTCTCTTATAATTTTAAAGATGTAAACATTGAAATTATACTGAAGTCATCATGTAAATGGATACATTTTTTCTTACATAAGTTAGAAGTTTCTTGGCTGCAAATGTCTCCCAAATTGTATATGTATCTAGAAACAATAGTGTTCATCGTATGTTAGGATATCCTAACTTAAGATGTTCCTAAGATACCGTCGAGCTACAACTTATGATAAGTCCTAAGTTGATCTTGGATGTTCTTAACTGTCTTCCTAAGTCATATCTTAGGAACAATCTTAGGACGTATCTTAGGAAAGTTTCGTGAACATGCCTGCAGATTGGCTATTGTATTTACGGAGTACCTGTTCCACAAGTATTCATGAAGCACGTCAAGAATTTCAAAAAATTGAACCTGAAAACACTGGTTGCAAACTAATTGTTAATTATTCCACTTCTTCTAGTCCTTTTATGTCCAAGAAATTTCCCTGTGCTCACCAAAATATCATTAATAACTAAAAGTTTCATTAGTTCATTTGTTTTTTATTTGTAAACGGAGAGCCTATTGACAGCAATAAAGAGTATCTTAACTGTATAATATATATGTGTTGATGAGTCTGTACAGAAAGCATATAATGACAGAACTGCTTTATGACATCATTAGACATAATGATGGAACTGCTTTATGACATCATGAGACATGACAGAACTGCTTTATGACATCATAAGACATACTGTTATGTCTTGTAACATTTATTATTACATATATTTGTGACAATGATAAACCCATTGCAGAATAATTAAGATCATTTAATGGTTTGTGGTTATTCTGCAATGGTCAAGGTGATCATTAGTTAATGGGACTAGTTTACAGGTTTTTATTGAGAGAGCTTAAAAAATAAAGTTTGGCACAAGTTACACAAAGAAAAATGAAAACTTCTATCCCACATAGATAGAGAGCTCAGGTTTTATTACGGGTGAAGAGATTGAGTTTGTTTGCTGCAACAAAAATATATCACAGTTAAAAAACAAAAGAACAGATTTGTTTTACTAACAGTGGGCATCCCTTGCCGTCTTAGTCAAAATGTACATAATATATCTCACACGATTTAATTGTAGAGGAAGAACTCAACCATGATTGTGTCCTTGTATCGACACATGCAAATGAACATAATGTTTTTGATAGGAACATGTAAAAATGCACAAACATTCAGGATTGCAGAGAAGAACATAGCATATAAACTTAAAAAACATCATCAAATGGAAGAAGGAAAGTTTGATTTCCTTAAATATTGCACAGCTGTAGCGGAAAACAGTGTAACAGTCATCCTGGACCCTGATCAGAAAATTCTATCTAGTTAAAATACCATAAAATATTACATCACTTCATATAAGCGTTTTAAAAGTGGACAGTTAAAAAATTACAAAATATGATACTTAAAAAGAAAAACGTTTATACATGCAAATTTGGATGGGAAAACACATCTTTTAAGTCACATGATCATCAGCTTGATATAGTGACCAGCATATACAAGTTTAAAATAGTGATGATAGAAAGTGACTAGTATATGTTATTATGAAAATGTCAGCAGTTTTGATATGACAAATAACATTTGTATCATAGTCCACAATACTGATACACAAATAGCACTGTCTAATTGAGTCAATACCCAAGGAAACAGGGGTTCAGTGGGAACATAAAGTACCCCTGGATAAACCACCTCCTCAAGTACGCCAACAGGAATATTTCACAACTTCATGAATACATGTCTTAGATACTGGATAATGATCATGTATCCATACTTTTGATTGGATAATAAATAAATATTTTATGACATCACACATGTATATCAATAATAACACTCTCATCCTGTCTCACAATAGCACCACAAGAAATCCTCCATTCTTGCTCAAGCACATTCATGTCATTTTATTTTTCCATGGCACAATTTGATTTGTGTCTGTTTGTGTAAGAAATCACAACACATTATGAGATGCTAGGAATATCATTACAAATTTCAGCTTCAATAAAAATTTGGAAATGTTCTTCTTTCTATGAATCTTTCCAGCTGATTGTTTGGCACCCTCACTGGGAATAACTCACAATTGATAACAAGGATAGAGTCTATGTGTATCACCTGTTGCTTTTCTGAAGTTTGATGCTGTTACAGTCATCAGATAATTCTGGATACTGAGTTGGGGTTTGAGATTGTCTGTACCAACCCTCGTATCCCCTTGCGGACCCATGGGTCAGAATTTCATTCACTTCATATGAAGTCCATTGATATTGCGATGTGAGAGAGTTTTGAAGAATCCATTTTTCTCGCCTCCAGGCATGATTCACTGCCCGCGTTTTGGCGTGGCTAAGAACTCGCTGCCTTTCGAGTTCTAAGGTTGTGCCATATCTAATATTGATTATGGAATGCTTACCATGAAGCTTGATGTCGGTCTCTGTTTTTCTGTGAGCAGGCCTCTTTACTGTCACATTGAGCCCATTCTCATAGCGGATTTCATCATTATAAATCCCTAAAGTTTTCAAATCCTCCCCAGCCTTTGAACTTTCTGGTTTCACAAAGTAATGTACATCCTTGCCATTGATGATATACTGCAAGTCGAGAATCTCGGAGCCATTCACCAGCACCAGGGCTAGTTGTTTGGACCAATCAGGAGTCTTTTCCATGACCCCAACCTCTACACGACCGTTACGATAAGACAGAGTTACTCCATCACCAAGGATACTTGCTAGAGCAGCAAATCGCACATCTCTTCTGGTCTGCAGGGGAGAGAGTTTGGATTTGGGAACAATGGACATAGTCAGCAAGCTGTCCATATCCTGAAGGAATGTACACTCAAAGGCAGAAGACGTCGGCAGTAGAGAGAGATCAGTGTCCTTCTTTTTTGGACGAATTTCTCCAGTGTAGGACACATCGGGAGCCAGGCTCCTAATGTCATAGCCCAGCATGGACATCCACTCAGTCACAGCTAGACAAAAAGAAAAATTGTGTCATTAAACTTTATCCTCTGTACATTTTGAACGTACAATATTCAGTACAAATATTAAAGCAAGATTTTCTTAAAAAGAAAGTACAGACCCCTAAAAAAATCTTTCTGAAATTTATAACTCTATTCAATTAGATTTGAAAATCTTTCTTCATGAATAAGAGGACTAATTATTTCAACTTAGTACACACCACTTTAAAACTTCATACTTACAGAGAACAGGGTAGGAATTCTTTGTGTGTGTGTTCACCAGATACTGGAATCTGTAGTTGTTGAGTAGTGCCGGTGCTTCTAGAATTTTCTGAATGTTGTGGATGATGGTCCTGTAGCTGGGAGAGAGCCAGCGGCCATTGTCAGTGTCATAGACACGGCTCCTAAAGATGACTAGCTCTGTGACAGGGTTGTATAACCCTCCCTGGAATCCAAAACTGAACTCAAAATTAGGATTGGTGTCGTTTTCCATCCTACCAAGAGGATCATAGACAATAGACTTAATGATATGGCCTTGCTTGTTCATTACTGCTATTGGTGAGCCCATGGGGTCACAAGCAATGTAGTACACCGCTCCGCCTCGTTTCATGGCTATCAGGTTGCCGCTGGGCTCGTAAATGTACTCAGTGACCACTGAGGAGGTTCTGTTGTACGTGTGGGTAATGCGATCTGGATTTGAAACATCACTGTAGAAGTACTGCATTGTTTCTCCTCCATTAGATTCCATTAGAACTAACTTTCCAAAGGAATCATAGAAGTAAAAGTAGCGGTATTTTCCAGTCTTAGCAACATACATCAGCTGTCCATTGGAATTAAACTTAAGATCTTGATCATGTCTCTTAGCCATGAATCCATCCTCGTCAAACTTGTACTGTTTGTTGCCTGACTTGATGATGCGGTCTCCCGTGTCGTATTCCAGGTCCTTTGGAATTCCGTCTTCCGTCACACGGTTTATGTTTCCATTGTTACTATAGCTAAATCTCCAGGCAGACTGCCCATTGATGAAGACTTCTATTATATTACTGTCTTTATCATACATGTACATGTATTTAATTTCTTCACCATTAACATTCCTCTGCCATCTGTGGATTCTGTTATAAACATCGTAACCGACTTTTAAGGTCAGCACACTGTCTCTATCAAATCGATACTTTGTGTTTTCAACCCGTCCATATTTATCATAACTGCGAGTTACTGTTACATACTTATCTGATATTGTCTCAGAATCATACATTGTTCTGAATGTTAAGTTCAATGGTCCTAGTGTCTTAAGTTTGCCTGTGTTAGTATCATACGTATAACTTGTGCTAGTTCCATTAATGCGCACTCCAAAAGCTGCGTCAATCTTTGTAATCCTGAAGTTATCATCATAGTCGTAGGAAAATGATCCGGTAATTAATTTATCGTCTTTTGGGAATGTCATGTCATAGCTGGACACTAGTGATCCCGAGTAACCGTACGTCTCCACACAGCTGTAAGGTCCACTAGAGATGGTGGATTGGGACAGTTTTAAGATCTGCTCTTTGTATTCCAGTTCCACCTGTGTCTCATCAAACAAGACAGTTGTGGGTTGTGAGTAGCTGTTATAACGGTATGCTACACGCCTCTGTTCACTGGGATAAACTACCATTAGGAGTTTTCCATTACCATCATATTCCTCGGAGTAAGGATATGACAGACCTGGTATATGGTAAAGGTAGCGTTGCTTCCCAATAGAGATGATGTGATTAAAATGGTGGTAACCAAGGTCAGGGGTTCGAATCTTCTCTAGTTCTCCAAGACTGTTGTACTCCAAGTAGTACTGTTTACCGCTAGGCATTACAATGTCTGTTGGCTGAAAACAGATATTACAGAATTGTTATACATGTCTGTTTAAATGTATGTAAGTTTGTCAGACATTCCTTTTGTTTCCTTTCAATTCATGATTGTTTTATTTTTATAATATTTAAACTGGTATATCAGACCCATAATAGGCACCGATTTGTCAAGATTTTTCATACATTTCATTATGAATTACTGAATACCTAAAAGCAATACACAGACTTCACATTAATATTTTGTGTTTTCTTTTTCCCTTTCAGTGACAAAACAGGATATTTACCGATGACTTTCCATATCTGTAGTTAAAACGGTACTGGACAGTCCCTGATCTTGATCGCTCCAGCAGTAGTCCATCCCTGTTATAGTTCAGATCCTCCCACATTTCTCCGTACTGCCAGTGCGTGATCTGTCCCCGCTGGTTATAAGTGATGTTCATTGCATGATGCTCACTACATGGCAGGAACTGGACGGGTAGGCCGCTGTCATCATACATAATCCACAAGATGTTTTGAGAATCTTTGTTAAGGATGCTCTCTGTATGGTTTAGACGGTCATACTCCACAGACAAAAGATTCACTCCATTTATCTGTAAACAATGAGTAATGCTGGTAAAAATCATTGACGATTCTTCTAGCTTTAAATTACAGGTAATAAAATCTTTGTGGTTATTTTCATTGATATAAGCTGAATCAATTGATTGAAATTCTATAGTTAAAATAAATATATTCATAGTTAATTATTACATAATTTAATAGGTCCATACAATATAACTTCTTATGTGTAATGATATTTCTAAGAAAGCTCAATATTGTCTAATTTTCATATTGTATTTTTAACAGGCCTGAGTTACTTGAAACTTCTCGGTGTCAATTTTATACCTATCATGTTTTCTCTGAGATTTTTTTCCCCATTACAATTTTTATGCAAGACGTATACAGACAGCCTGACTATATATTAAGCCAAGGGACTTTCCTTTCCCAATAATATCACATTATATATGTCCTTTATTTGATACATCTGAAATAGCTTTTGACATGCTTTTATTGGCCTGACAAAAAAAATGCCATTATTTTTGTTCAACAAGTTATATTCAGTAGTAGAAAAATAAAAAAGAGGGACATGCTAAATGAAAAATAATGAAAATAAAAAGGAATGACAAAACTGAATTGAAGTTGTACATAATGTACTGCTAAAATTTCATGCTAACTGTCATCCAATGTCTATTATACAAGACGGAGTTAATCACCTTCAAAGCAGTGCTAATAATTCAATGCAATGATATCCTACAATTTTTTCTAGAAATTTTCTACAATTTAACTTATGGAGTAAATTCTCCATCCAATGGCCTTTAGAAATTAAAAGTATATTAGATTATCACTACATATTCACATAGTAAAATTAATTTACTGAAATTTTTCCTCATTATTTTGGCCTAACCCATTGCTCCCTCCCCAGAAATTAAAAGATCCCCTTCCTAGCACTGCTGAGAGGTGCAACAGAGAAGGAACATATTGACATACCCTGAGGGCTTTGGCCTCGCCTCTGGAGGACATGTCAGGCGAGTCAGACATGCTAACATGCGGGCGGGACTCCCCTACCCTCATTTTACTGCCTAGTCTCTGTAGGGTCTTACGCCCACAGGAAGGACTATACCGACGACGGGCATAGAATCTCCACTCCAGTTTGTGTACAAGCTTGTTTGGACCAATTATCTTCCGTTTGAAGTGCATTCTATGTTGGTTGGACAAGACAGGGTGTCCACCAGATTCAATGGTTATGGACATATTGGTGGGATACATGACGACCACCCCTCCATCTGGTAGATAAGTCACCTGGGTCTCTGCTGCACCTGGAAGTTACCAAAGATCAAATTAAATTCAAATCCATAGTAACTACATGTCGTTTGAAAATAAAAGTTGTAATAATGGAATAACATGCATGTTTGATATTACTCTGAATAAGCTAAGTTAGGAGATCTTACAAAAAATATATCTCAGATTCAAAGGCTCTGAAATTCTATTACTGAAATCTAATGAAGAAAAGGTAAAATTCATACAATATTTCATGTTCAGAGAGAAAAAAAAGTCTTTTTTGTGGGGTAGAAATAGATCCTACTAGCGAGAGATAACGACCACAAAACAAACATTTATGTCTAGCTACTGTCTACTACGATCACGCACACGAGAAATATGACGTCATGGTGTACTGGCTAAATCTAACCTCTTGTGACTCTAGCTGACGATACATGCTGCTGAATGAGTCAAATTTGATGTCCAATATACATATGTAATACACATTCATGTCAGTTGTTAACAAATTGATATAAAAGGTCAGAACTATGCTGTAAGGAATATATACATGTATATATACTTGTGATCTTGTTATGATGATGAGAAGACTAATTGTAGCCACCAAAAGCTTTTAAATAAGCACTGCAGAATTATTCCTGGCATTTTATAAGTTTCTGAAGATAGAGCAAGACAAAAAGACAAGAAAGCGGCCAGCTAGAAACTGTATCCTGCGGAATCAAGCTAGTCAAGAAAAAGCAAATTACCCTGAGAGATTTTCACTGTAAAATTCAGAAAAAAATCACATTAAAAGAGGATCCATGCATACAGAAAGCTTCTCAAACTTTTCTAAATTCTTAAAACATGAGCAAACATACAAACATTTTTTGTTGTTGAAAATTTGTTAAAGTTCTGTTAAAAGATTTCTTAACATTACAAATGGATGAAACACTTGCCATGCATGACTGACTGCACACTGCCATAGGTTGCCATAGAGATGACATCACTACTGTCTGTGTTGACCCTGACAATTGACCCTGTTGTGTTGATGTCAGTAACTAGGGAGGTTATCTCTCCTGTAGGTTGCCGGGTCTCCATCAGTCTCCCCTTGTCATTGTAGTTATAGTAATAACTTTGACCATTACTGAGGTACTTAGACTCCAGTAAGCCCGAGGTTCCTTTATACGTAAATGAAATAGAATTGTTATTTGGGGATGTAAACCTCTGAAGTCGGTGTAGGTTGTTCATTTCCACTTTGGATCGTTGGTTGCCAGGGGAGATGACCTGTGTGACCTGGAGATTGCTGTCACGTGTCAGCTCTATCATGTTTTTGATATCATCAGTGACAGACACAAGCTTACTAAAGAAGGAGTTGACATTGTATGTGAAGTTATACATGTACTGCCCAGTCATGATGTCCACTGTTTGTTGATGTTGACCATGGTCGTTGAATATGTACATCTCTTTGGTGTCTGGAGAGTAGACTTTATACTTTCTATTAGCATCTGGTTGAGGAAGCTTGGACATAATAGAGAACACACGTAAGTTTCCATTGTCTGCAATGTGAACAATGCCATCTGGTGTCACAGTGATAGAAGTAAGGGAATTAAATAGTGCCTGGGCTGCTAAAGTCTCCTTTGCATCATAACATAGACAGGTCTTGGATTTGCAGTCGCACTTGGATTTAGAGCCAGCAAAGTGATGAATCCTTCCATCAGAAGTGATTACACGCACTCGGTTTATCCTATGTTGGTCACTCTCCACCACGTGGATTTCTCCGTGAGGACCGAATGTGATGCTTTGAGCATCCACAAGTCTGACTTCAGCAGCTATACCTGAAGCCTCTTCCTCATCTGAAAGTATTCCAGACAGCAGGGAGTTTACACTCCTGATTGGACAGTTACTGGGTCGTCCAGCAATGGTCACTATGTAATTGTCTTTGGTCAGCTTCAGGATGACATTTTTATCCAGAATGTGGAGAGAATCATCCAGTGGGTCAATGGCTAGAGCTGTTGGCCAATGTAACTGAACCTACAAATCATAACAATATTGATTTCTACATTTTTCAATGATAAAATTATTTTGGGGGCAAAATTTTACAATGCCATCAGAATCTGTAAAGAATATTCTTTCTATGTTGTTCTATGACTTTTCCTTATTTTCTGAAAAATGTCAACAATTTTACCTCACCATCTCTGTATGAAGACACTGTACATACCTGACTTGCTGGTCTGCTATGGTCACATGACATAGGCTCTTGTGTCCTGAGTTGGTTGTGTGAGCCAATCAGAGTTGTGATAATACCTGTGGCAGAAATCTGCCTGATGTTGAGGTTGTCTGCTATGTAAATCACTCCCTCCTTGTTAATAGCAATACCTGCCAAGATAATCAGTAAATATGTGATTTTTCTTAGGTTCATTTTCCATGCTAGACCTTGTTCCTTAATTCATAGCTGTAATAAATTTGAAATCAAACTTAACAAAAATTTAAACTTGGAACTGTACAAAATAGAATTGTTCTGACCACCTGCCCCTGACCTTTGATCTGAAGAGAATGAATATAAAGTTCTTGACCCCTTCAATACCAAAATTGATAAATATGAGGTTTAAATGCTGACCTTTGGGTCCGAGCAGTCTGGCCTGAATGGCCAGTCCGCCATCCCCACACTCATCTAGCAGTCCTGTGGAGCACTCCTCCCCATTGCCAGCAATGACCTTGAAGTTTTGTTCTAGATTCTGGACAGGCCCCATTGTGGCAATTTGGATGACTCGGTGATTCATGTAGTCAGAGATGTATAATTTCCCATTCACCGGGCTCACTGTCATGTATGTCTTGTGAAATACAGAGCTAAAAAGTAACAGAGAGACGTACAATTAAATACTGGAATCGTTGAAAGGCTATATGATTAAAATATAGACATGTAGCTGAATTAAAATTGCATGCCCAAACTGAAGTACAAGTAGGATAAAATAATCTTTACTACAATATATAATGTGTTTTAAAAATGCATTTTGTGAGCAGCAGAGTCCATAATTCAACAAGAGGCCCAAGGGCCACATCGCTCACCTGAGCACTGTGGCTAGGAAAAAAGGAAAAATCAGTTTAGTATTGAAAAGCTTAAATGCATAAGTGGTCCCAACCTACCCCTAAAAAGGGAGTAGGGGAGGGGGGGGGGGGGGGTCATGATTTGAACAAACTTGAATCTACACTATATGAGGATGCTTCCGTATAAATATGACAAACCGTGGCTCTGCTGTTCTTGAGATTTTTAAAGATTTTTCCTATATATTCCTATGTAAAACTTTGATCGTTCATTGTGGCCCCGCCCTACCCCCGGGGGTCATGATTTCAACAAACTTGAATCTACACCACCTGAGGATGCTTCCATATAAATATGACCAATCATAGCTTTGCTGTTCTTGAGAAGAAGATTTTTGAAGACTTTTCCTATATATTCCTATGTAAAACTTTGATCGTCCATTGTGGCCCCACCCTATCCCCGGGGGTCAAGATTTGTACAAACTTGAATCTACACTATATGAGGATGCTTCCAAATAAATATGACCAATCATAGCTTTGCTGTTCTTGAGAAGAAGATTTTTGAAGATTTTTCCTATGTACACCTATGTTAAACATTGATCGTCCATTGTGGCCCCACCTTACCCCCGGGGGTCATGATTTGAACAAACTTGAATCTACACCACCTGAGGATGCTTCCATATAAATATGACCAATCATAGCTTTGCTGTTCTTGAGAAGAAGATTTTTGAAGATTTTTCCTATATATTCCTATGTAAAACTTTGATCGTCCATTGTGGCCCCACCCTATCCCCGGGGGTCATGATTTGAACAAATTTGAATCTACACTACCTGACAATAATTCCACTTGAGTTTCATCTTTCCTGGCCCACTGGTTCTTGAGAAGAAGATTTTTCAATAATGCCATTAATTTTTTGCTATTTCGTAATTATCTCCCCTTGGAGGAGGGCGTGGCCCTTCATTTGAACAAACTTGAAACCCCTTCACCCAAGGATACTTTGTGCCAAGTTTGATTGAAATTGGCCCAGTAGTTCTGGAGAAGAAGATGAAAATGTGAAAAGTTTACGACAACGACGCCGACGACGCCGACGACAGACAACGGACAAATTTTGATCAGAAAAGCTCACTTGAGCCTTCGGCTCAGGTGAGCTAATAATATATACATGATGAGGAAATACTTTCAAAAAGTTCCGATTTTTCACATCAGTCTGAGACCACTTACTCTGTTTTAAGGATACTGACAATCTCGGTACGGCCGGGAGAGAGTTTCCTGATGAAGTTGTCGTCCCAGATATACAAACTTCCATCACTGCCACTGGCCAGGGCTACAGGAGCACGCACCTGATTGTTAGAGGCATCACCGTTACATAGGGCACAGTCTAGCTTCCGTTGTATACCGTTACCAAGGATACAGACCAGTTCCTGGGGTTTCTCCTTCAGGTAAATGTTACTCCCATCTCCCTTGTGAAGGATACCTGTAATCATGATAAAGAAAACAAACATTATATGTCCTTAGTACTTCCAACACTGACATCATCAACTTTCTCACTTTTTACAATCCTTACAACATGCATGCTGAGTATATTGTTACTTTAGAATGTTTTACTTGAGTTGTGATATTTCAATTTTCTGGATTCTACCTTCCTGGAAGTTGTAGGTGTGATGGATGTCCAGATTCCAGCCTCCTATCTCAGATGATGTCAGATCAAAGCCAGTCATGGTAGTACTCCTGACCTCCCAAAACACATAGGTACAGCCCTTATACTCATATCCCACGTGGACCTTCACTGGTACAATCCCATAAACCTTCTGTCTGTACGCATTAATCCTGTCCCAGGAGAATGTATACTTAAGGCCTGGATCTGCCTCAAATACCTTGACAGTTTCTACACCTTGGACGTAGACTTTGAGATGAACCAAGGCTAGGTTTGTTGGGATAGTATCTGGGGTCATCTGGATGAGGATAACTGACTTGTATCCTTCCGTCTCGCTGCTGTGGTAGACAAGATGAACATTGGTACCTGGCACTTCTACACTCTCCTGTAACACCTGAAAAATAAACAAAAGGTTACATCACTGGAATAAGAAACTATAACCTCGACAATATCTTAATCAATGTAACAACAAATCTACCACAACTCCATCGAATAACCCTTAACAATACATGTTTACTACAAATTTGCTCCATGGATTTGAATAAAAGTAATAAAACTTCTGTCAAAGTCTTCAAAATATTTTTTTTTAATTAAAAATTTTAGAGGCATTTTTCTCCAGTGTTGATAACATATGACCATTCATTGGTACATGACTGTTTTGTACCTGAGACTCTGGAATGAGAGTGCTTTTTTCTGGACATGCCCCTAGTTGAGTGTGTTGCCATGTGGACAAGACAATAGGTTTCATGCTATGGTGGTCATGCCCCACTCCACACAAAGAGGGGTCAGGCTCTGAGAAGTCACCGGACTGAAGATCCATGATGACGGTCTCCATGGTTATAATCTGTTTCCATGGTACCGACACACTAATGGTGTGAGACTGAAATGGTTGCCGTGTAAATTCCAAGGTGACAGATCCTCCTCCATTCACAAGAATGTCAAACCTGCAGAATTTTTGGAAATAGTAATGAATGAATGTTTGTACCAGTAAATTTATCAAAGAAATAATAACTTAACAAATGGATATATTTACTCCACATCAACCATGAAAATGATTGATTTTTGTAAAATTTGCATGCAATCTTTCTCAATATGATCTTCTTCTTGATACTGTGTAGGGATTTAAATTGTGAGTGTATAATTTCACTTATTTTTCCTTTAACACTGTGAGTGTTTGAAATTATGCAAATATTAACTTAAAGTATGTCTCCAATGCCAATGTAGAAAGTTTTCCATTTCTTGAATTCAGTGCATCACTGAGAAAGTGAAAGAAGCAAAGTTATTTCAAGCCAGTTATTTTCCCTCTCTTCAATAATTTAAGTTATAAATATACTTACATTCCATCGTTCCTGGTAAGAGTGTGGCCGTACAGAGGCTGAATCCTGACGTTGACTCTAACCCCCACTAATGGAGTACCGTCCCTTGTCTCTACGTGCCCACGTATTACTGACACCTGGCTGTAAACAAAGAATCATTTGATTTCAGATAATATGAAATCTTTTCTGTAGCCAATATTTCTAGCCTGACGTAAACACATCTTTGAAATCCAGATAATTTGATATAACTGGATTCAATAATTTCTTTCATGGCTTGTTTTTCTTTCCTAAACATTACCCATTTTGAGTTCACAATTTCTAGTCTTTTTTATAAATCATACATGTATGTAAAAAGTGTTAATATCACTGGAGAGTTACTTTGTGATTTTATTTTGCCAGGAAAACAAAGGACTGTATTGAAATACAGTATCCTACTGGTGACACTGTCATTAAAAACAGAGCCAAAGGCTTTACTTATCAGTGCATTAAGTCTGCAGATTTTCTTTACCAGTAAAATTCATTAAATCTCCAATTTTTGTTTTACTTATGTCAAAAGCTGAGTTGTCTTTTGAAGTGCTTGCATTAATAAATCAAAGCAGGAACTGTGAATCCTAAATGTGTGTAAATCTGATCTCTAAATTACTGACCACTGATTAAAATCATATACTGAGACATTTACTGATGTGCTAAATCGTCCATTCTCTCTGAAATAAGACACTGGAGTCGACCAAGTTTAACATAGCTGGCTTTAATGGCCTCCCTGAGCCCTATTTGTATACAATCAATATAACACAAGTTGTGTTACAGCTTGGTTCTGGATATTGTTTTTCAATTGAATTAGTATTTCTAGAGAAACTAAATCTACTCTTCTCCCAAACATCAATAAATAATAAGGCTCTCTTCACCAGCATGACTCTGTTATCAAATTAAACTGCATATTCATCATTGCAATTTTTACTGAGATTAAACAGAATTTTTTCCGAGACGTTTAGATGTAATCTATATGTTTTAGGTATCAAACACAGATTTCTCGTCCTATTTATGACAGTGTTATGCATTATGCAGAAAGTTGAAGTCTTGCAACAATGAAAAACAATGCACGACAGGTGTCTAATTATTCAGCACTGCTAAATTATAAAGCAATAGGGTCATGTAATGTTGCTTAATAATAAAGTGACTCACTTTTCTGGGGATTCGTTGTGGTTTTCTTTTCAATAAAATAAAAAATAAAATTTTTGTTAAAAAAAATAATGAATTTTTTTTATCAGATTGACAATGGTCCATGGGAACCTTTTGTGGTAGATTACATCTTTTTTTCAGTGTATTATATTGCAAGAGCTTTTTGAAATGCAAGAGCGTAATTTCTGAAATAAACTGAGAGAATGATCTGCTGTCACAGCTTAAAACTTAATATTCCAAACTGATAGACTTGCTACACCCCTGCAGTCCAACATTTAGTCTCAATATTAAATCTCACTTGTTGGTCCATTGCAAATGGATAAGAATTGAAGAAAAAAGATGATTAACTGACTTGAGACTTTGATATTGTTTATACAGGAAGAGAGGAGAAAACATACCTTTCATTAAATGCATTCTTTGATGTCTCCTTCTGTATACTGTTGTTGTCAATCAGAAATTTCATCTTCTTGAAGAAGGAGGCAGTGGAGCTTGGTTTGGGTTTCTGAAGCAGAATCTCAGCAGGGTCCTGTACAGTCTGACAGAACGGACTCCTCGTACAGGCCGCACTGGAGCAGCAGTCGGGGTCAAGACAATCACTCAGACCATCTACAACAACACAGAAGTGTTACTAACCACAAAAGTCTGCTATAGTTGTGTTTAACATAAAATTTTGGAAGTGGGCTATGTTAGCATACTTCAGAATGTTAATTTTTGATTAACAACAGGCTGTTCAAAATTCAAAAAATAAAGCTACTGATGAGCTTCAAATGCAACCAAGAATTACTCAAGCAATGAATCTTTCATTGATGGGAGATTTAAACTTCATGACCTAAAAAATTAGCACCCTCCTAACCCCCCTTCACCCACTCACTCAGCATTGAAAAATGGACAAAATTCAATCTTAAGTACCATTGTCATCATCTTTATTGTTGGAACACATCATCTCCATGGCTATGTTACATCCACTCCCCTTCCAACCAGCATGACAGTCACATTTATATCCACTGTTACCATAGCGACGACAGTTTCCATGGTTACTGCAACCATTTGGACACCCATCTAAAACAAATAAGATGTACATATAAAAGCAAACTTGATACCGTATATACTCGCCTATAAGTCAGTTTTTTGGGAGTTAAGCTTTGGTCCAAAAACCCCTGTCCGACTTATAGGCGAGTTATGAAAATATTGGTATAATAATCCCTTAAATCCCTTAAATGTAAGCTTTAAAAATACAACCGACTTATAGGTGGACCGACTTACAGGCAAGTATATACGGTAACTAATATCAGGAAAAAACTTGTGTTTTAAGCTAAATACATACATAGTATAAATAGGATAAGATTTTTCTATCTGTGATAGATTAATATTTTAATCAAGAAAAATTTGTTTTATTCTACAACACAAATTGGGCTTTAATAAATTGCCATCAAGCTCAAGTCATAAAATACTTTTCCTGATCAAACATTGAGTGTTAATCAACATATACATAGATTATTTGTCTACAAAACATGGCAATTTGTCACTTAATATAATCTTGTTCAATGTAGCACATAAGTCTTCCATCTATATAAATCTTTATAGTGCAATAGAGAAAGTCAAAAAGCTTCCTAGGAGTCCCTCTATTTCTGATAGTAATTATAAGCAATCATTAATGAGTGCTCTCAATGATTAGCAGAAAATGTAAGAAAAAGTAAAAAGAAAAATCAACACCTCTACACTTATGTTATAATTTATAAAACCAGAAAAAGGATCCACAAGAATGCACTCCTTAGTAAATAAATATTTTTTTAACAGTGATTTTCCCCACAGCAAATTTTTCAAACCTCTAGAATAATAAAGAGATGCACTACAAGTCCATCAATAATGTACATTACAAAGATTACCTTTGCTCAAAGTGTTGTAAAATACGAGATGGCCATTTACGTGCCTTGTCTATAAGCATATATATATATATAGACCCAGGGGCTGGGTGGGGGGGATGTTACCTATGGTGCAGTGTTTTCCGTTCCAGCCTGTTCGACAGATACAAGTCCCTTTGTCACACTGGCCTTTCACACCGTCACAGCGTGGGTCACAGTTACGTGTGTCACACAAAACTCCTCCCCATCCCTTGTCACACACACACCTCTGATTGTGGCAGCGTCCATTTATACATCGTAGTCGACACATTTCTAAAATTTACCCGGTCACCAAATATCAAGCTTCACCATGATTAAAAAGCAAAATAAAATGAAAGAAATATTGTCAATATCCAGAGTACAGTAATATTAAGACAGCAATGGACCAAGTTTTAAAAGGAAATACCAAGTGAAGAAATAGTACTCGTCTGGTATATAATGGTATGTTAACATTTCGTAGCAAAAAAAAATAAAGAAAGAAAATAAGAAATCTTTACATTAGAAAGAAAATTTATAGAGATGTATTTCATATCTATATCTGACAAAGCTTGTAGTATATATATACATGTATATACAACACAGTATCTTCACATGCTTCTGTGCTATTAAGTTAGAAAACTCTTGTTATTGTAAGGTAGAAAAACAACACGAAAGTCGGGTCGAAATCTTCAAATTGATGACATTATTTAAAAAGATGTATTAAATAAAAAAATATCAATAAACAATAATAAACAGATGACAACAAAATGCAGGTTATTTTTAGAAATGTAAACAGGGGGCATGCAGATAAAGTTAGTACCTGCGTGCTTCCTAATATGGAAAGATGGCTGACCTGTAATGAATGAACTTGTTTATCAAGTACAGCCAATAAGGGACAGAATTGTGGCTAAATTTCTTGAGATTTTTTTTTATGTTCACCAAAAAGGATAAATTTTTATCATTTATTGATTAAATTGTATTGTAATTAAACAATATAAGTGGTGACTTTTTATCCATCTTTTGTTTGTTATGAAGAATTTTCTATAGAACTCATCTGTAACAGCTAGTAAAATAATATGTAGAAAAAAGGAATTCACAAATTAAAATTCTATGCATGCATGCAGTGCATAAACATCATGCTGGTTGCTTTTGAGAAAACTCACACCATTTAATTACTTTTTGCTTATTAATAGTCATACCGATATTTATGAAGTACCAAAAAACTGACAAGTTGATTTCAGTTTCATAATTGGATTTTTCTGAAGTCCTATCAAGTGTGGAATTTTAATTAAAACATAGAAAGCAAATGGGTGATAAAACATAGAACCAGCAATGATACTGGGATCGTTCATGCTATAGACCAAATGAGGGTGTCAGGCCGATTTGAAATACGATCAGATAATGGCTGATGAGTTGTTCAGACAGGGCTGTTATGTTCTGTAGTCATTGTCATATGATGGTGAAATTTCTGACACCTTATTTCCTCCAAGTCAACATTTCATCATCACAGGTCATAAAAATAATAGCTTCATTAATCCCCCCTCACATAAAAATTATATGATGGTTAAATTTCTGTAAGCCATACTGGTATGATGCAAGATTAGTATACACTGTAAGGATATTGTTGTACAAGGTAAGCTGTTATGTGTTAGCTATATTTTAGTAACAAATATGTATTTTTTTTTAAAATTGGGATTCAGTGGAAAAGGGACACCATGCTAATGTAAGAACAAATTGAACCATTCTAGTCAAAACCATGCATCTGGAGTTATCTTCCTCAAATTCCACCATGCTCTCAGATTTAGTCATTTTATTTGTGGTCTCGATATCAAAAATGCAATCCGTGCATGTAAGGAAAGTCAATTCTAGAGTTATGTGTGGATATCTACAGCGTCCAAACTGGTCAAAAGTTGTCAAGGCAACAAAAACGCTGGGTCAGTCCTGAGTAATAGGCAGGAGGCTTTACCTTGCTCACAGTCCTGGCCCGTGAAGAATCGATGACAGATGCACTGGCCCATGTCCCAGTCAAACTGCCCATGCCCCGAGCAGTCCCGGGCACAGAGGTGGGTCAGGTTAAGTTTGTCGGGTAATTGACAGTTGTCTCCCTTGAACCCCTTATAGCAGACACATTTACCCAGGTGACAAAGCCCATTACCAGAGCAACTAGGATCAATACAGGTCACTGTGGTGACAAAGAGACGTGTTAATAACCCAGACAGGGGAGATAATCTCGCAGTCATTTCATAAAAAGTTCAACGTAAGACATTGTCACCATGCACAGCTTATTGTTTCTAAGCAATGCAGATTTTTTTAAAAGCTTGTTAACATTATTTTTTATGAAATCTAGAATGGATTTTTATTTTGCGAAAAATGTAAACAATTTTAATTTTTGTATCTTCAGTCATTTTCAGACTATTTCTTAATGTTGATTATGAAAATTCCATGCAATGATTCTAAAATTTGCAAACTAAAGAAAACTTCAGCTTTGCATGCAGGGACAGGTCTTACAGAACTATTTCAGAATTCAGTGCAAGAGTATCTCATGAGAGTTTAAAATTAGTGAAAGCAAAAAATATAACTTAAATGAGAATTATATAGAATAAAAAGTAAGGCTGTGAAATGAAAGTGCATAATGATCCCATACTACACAGCAAAGAAAAAAAAATCACAAGATGATGGCAAAACAATAAAAATTTGACTAATATTTAAAAATAAAACATATATATCTACATAAAAAAGCATACAACAAGATGTCTAGTATGTGCAAAATAATACAAGTGTATGATTTCCAAAATGGTCTTAGAAGCATAATTTTTTTGCGTGCCAGTCCCTACTCTCTCCGTGTGTTAGTTGGATGTGTTTAGGCGTGGTTTAAAATCTAGACCTACCTATACCACAGTGGGGTCCAGTGAATCCCTTGTCACACTGACACTGACCGTCCACACAGCGCCCCCTGTTGTTACATGTGGGGTTCTCACATTTGTTGGCTGGGGTGTCACACTCCGGACCTTTCCACCCTTCGTGACATACACATACTCCCTGTCTGTACTCTCCCTGTCCATTACACAGACGAGGACACTCACCTGAAAAGTCAAATGTTTTATGTCATCCTGGTCAACTTACATACATGTGCATAATATTTGAAATTATACAAGAACATGCTAATGATTTTATGGCAACTTTTTCAATTTAAACACTGAAAGATAAAAAGAAATGGAAAAAACTGCATTTACAAACCATAAAAATTCTATTTACCACAATACGATGAGTTTATTTGGTCTAACTTCTGAAGGGTTTATTAATTTGTTGTAACTTTTAAATTTTTACAGTACTCCCATAAAAAGATACGATGTAAGACATCTGTGCATATATAAATAGTTTTTCTCTTTACAAAATATTCAATATTACATCATCTGTGAATTGCAGATCGTACGTGGGACAGCTTCAGAAATTGCCTCAACAACAGATGCCATATAGAGCCTAACATGAAATTATATTTTAATTTCATTTTCAGGCATAGCACTGCTAATTTTAGAATTCTCTGGGGATACCCCTCATGCATGATTCACATCAATCACAACCCAATAATACTCCAATACCCCAGTAATTCATTATAACACCTATGAATCACAGGGTATTAGATTAACTTGATTTGCACATTATGTATCCCTCTACATGGAGTAGAACATCTTTGATCTTCTTCAACAAGTATCATTACTGTGAGGCTAAAAAAGGGAAAATGCAGAGATGAGAAGGACCCTCGAGGATGGTCATGTGATCTGGCACATTGATAAGTGATACATATTATTGGATCAGGGAATTCTCTCTCTCTCTTTGAAAAAATATTTTCTATGCTGTGATCAATTCTGGTTGCATTTTCTTCCACAGCTATGTGCAGACTTAATTCATGCTAAAATTCAGGGTTCAAAATTAAGTGGAAATGCTCGGTAAATGCGACCATAAAATTCATTTTAGCAAGTGTGTTACATTATATGTTAGCAAAATTTATCGATAAATTCCAGTTTTGGTTTTTTTACCTTTCAAAATAAAAGGTGTTTGAATGACTGCATGTTACTGAATTTTTGGGCCTGTCTGGGGTTGAAATTTGGCAGTACTGAATTCATTAAACTATCTATAGTAAATCTACATACAATATACATGTTAATATAGATATTCTTTATTCAAAATCAGGTTTGTTTTCGCAAAAACATTTGCTCTTACAACTATGTTTTCTGTCATGCATAGCTACAGAATATGTTCAATGAAGTATAAAATACAAAACTTATTGGAGAACTTAAGTTATCTGGGGAATTAAATTTCAAATAAATATACTTATAAAAAATAATGTCAGTTCAATATTTTAAATTTTGACATCTTACGTTCTGAGCAGTATGGTCCTCGATATCCATTAAAACATTGACACCTCCCCTGATTATCACAGAGTCCATGTCCAAAACAGTCACTCTCACAACTAGATCCCATAGAGTCTGTCAAATTAAAATATATCTTTTTATACTCAATGTGGGTATTTTTTTTTGTAGATTTAACCCAATTTTGATAGATCCTAATTTGTCTTACCAATGGTCGTCCTAGAGACACCTATTTCCTGCGGTTGATCCCGATCATTGTATATTGTAATGTACCACTTGCCCTTCTCCATCAACTGTACTAGTGCTGTCTGCTTGTCAGGTAATGATCGTTTATACTGGAAAAATTACATGTACAAAACTCAGTTTGTGACTATCATATTTTCAGCCATGAAGACAATTTTGACAGCCCTGTATTTATACAGTCCAGCCTCATAAATATGGACGCTCGTGTTCCAGGGCAAATTGTCCAGATTAATTAAGCATCTGGATAACTGAAACATACTTGGTATGTATAAATATAAATTGTTCCCGATAAATTTCATCCGTATGGTGAAGCATCTGATTTATTGGAATTCGGATTAACAAGGCTCTGCTGTAAAACTACAGTTTATCATTTTTAAATGCACATTTAATCGCAGTTAACTTTCCAACTAAAAAAATTTATAGGCTTCAAATACTCACCCTGTTTCTCATTGTTTGAGCTGAAGGGTCTTTAATGGTACTCCCATCATACACCTGGTAAAAATCAAACTGAGCAATGGTCGGAGGGAAGTTCCGTCTGCCGTAGATCGCCAGGCGAGCACTGCTTGGAATGGTGAAATCAAACTTGACAAACTTGGAATCTTTTTGATTGAAGTATGTCTGCCACAGGGTTAAAGGAGGAATTGTTGTATAGGTGGGTCTACTACCGTCTAGATAGAAGGGGGTCTGGGTGAACTTTAAAACTGTAAGAACAGGTGGGAAAATACAGATTAGGCCATAATGTCTCTAGTTATATAAAGGTTTACATAAAACTGGATTACAGTAATCTATGTTTCAAAGTTATTGCTGTAAAACTTTGTTTTTTGTGACAAAATTTTATGAGAATCATTAAATGCTTTTGATAGCTTTCTACCTTTGAGTACTTTTAGTACTTTAATTAACTATATACATACCTGTGTGGTTTAAGGCACCAGGTACTTCCTCTTTTTTCTCCTTTTTCTCAAATGTCAAATGAGCTGGAAGTAAATCAAAATCATAACTATAGCAAAGGTAGAAGGCTTGTCTTTATAAATTAATAATTATGACAAGACTGCTAGATGACAAGATTTTATGACATGGAATCGAGAGAGGACTTATTAATATCTGTCATGCAAGATTCACACTTTCAACAATTCTGCACTCTGTTTGAACAGGGAGTGCATCAAATTTATTGAATTGCTACTTTGTAAAAAACAGACTGCATGGATATTGATGTAGAACACTGCATCCTCATAGCAAAGCTCAGAGAAAAATGCAAGACTTTAAGTTAATGTATTGATCGATTTTCTGTTTGTCGAGACCTCGTGATAATTTAATATTTTGTTACCCTTGGACAGAGCCAACAAGAAGCCCTGTATTAATATGCTTTTAAATATATCATTCTACAATTTATGGTCTGTCTTACTCCCATTTATCTCGTAAATTTTCAATTCAAATTACATTTTCAATCAAAATAATTCAGTAGTACAATAAATATTGGTCCGTGGAGAATGTTGTTTGATGGGTCATGTGACACTCTGATCCTACGTCTACTGACGATTCCTGACAATTGCGGCACAATTCCTGGTAAACAATAGATTCTCTCGGCTTGTCTGACAGTGTTCATCGGTCACCGATGGCAAACGGCACCATCGGGACCGAGCTGAGGAAATCATCTTGTTGCTTCTTCCCAAGAGAAGAAATAATTGGAAGAAGTTGAAAAACACTTGTTGATGAAGGAACAGTAAAGCTTCAATCAATGGTGGAATTAAAGGCCCCATGTTGTTTTTAGTCAAGTAAAACCTATCTTAATACATGTACTCTGATCTGACCAAAATGTTTTTGAAAGAAAAGTTTATGTAGTAAATGGGTCTTAATACTGCCAAAAAAAGATCTTTCTTTTTATCTTTAAAATGTCTTCTCATTGATATTTTTGCTGTTTAATTTGCCTGCATTTTTTAAACTGTTTTACCTGACCTCTTACTCAGGAACTTGTAACTTCATAAGATCATACTTATTCAAAAGTGATATATCATTAATGACTTGAGAACAAAGTATCTGCCAGGAGCAGACTAAAATCCTCAAGATGTGAGAAATTTTAAATTTTGCTAGATTTTAAAGTAAGTAAATTTGCCAATATTACAGTGGCATGTCATCTAAATGGATGTGAAATAAAACTTCATATAGGGGCTTGGTTAATATATTGCATTAATGCCTATTTTAAAGATACATCTCTACATAATAACTAGTTGGTGACAATAACCAAAAAGATGTTACAAAAAGCTAGTTCGTTTTTATATAGTCTTTATAATATTTAACAGCAGACCATTCAAACTGATAGAGAACTCGAATAATTTTTTCTTTTTTACATACTTTACATATTTATCAAATACATTTTGTACAAGTCTTCTCTGAATTGACACAGTAAGTTTGTTTTTGCTTTAAATGAAATGAGTTTCAATGCAAAATAATACATAAAATTATAACTATTTTTTTTTGTTTCAAAATTTCAAAACACACAAAAGGACAATATATGTGATTATAAATTCAAGCACATAGTACCCTGTGGTTTCAAGGAATGCAAAATTTTCCTTATCTATTTCTACCAGGGCCACATAAAAAAGTAATTACCCGGTATTTTGAATTGAACATACCTGCAAAATATGTCGTGGCAGCCAGAAGTCCCACACAAATAATGACTAGAATTAAGGCAGCCCATTTCCAGCTCCACCTCTTTAACTTCTTTTTCATGTAGTGGGGAGTATTGCCAAACTTTGTGTAGCCGCAGTCATGAGAACGGGGTGGTGATGTCATATTGGCGGGGTATCCACACTGACCATGCGGGAGAAAGGCCTGCCTGTAAAGGACAAGTCCAGAAAAGTTTAATCACGCAGTCCTCAATTAATCAAGTCAGAGAGTATTGTATCAGAGTCTCTAGACTCTACTGTCAAGTGTCAACCATCAGAAATAAACTGTTCAATCTCGGAGGTGACCAAACTGTGACAGCTGATCAGCCTTTGATTCTCCACGGTAAAAAACTTGTCACTCAAAGTCTAATACGCTACTGGAAATTTCACATCTTTTTAATCCTCCATCAAATGTTTTGGGAACAATTTGGATCAAAACATTTTCTATGCAAATTAGTAAAACACCTTTTCGTCTAAACAAAAAATATGATGTCCTCAGGAGCTATTAAAAGCAGAGTTATTAGTATAAAAATGCCGTTTCACAGCTCTCGTTTTGTGGTCAGAATTGGCAATATTGGATTTTGTTCGTGTGCATGCTCTACAGACATCTGCATTAGTGACATCATCATCAATTGTTTCGACTGTGAAAAAGCATTTGAAAGCAGTAATTACTGAAGAAGCTTGATTGCGCTTTAACAGAAAAACTAATGTCCATAGTTATATTCCCCCATTAAAGCATCCTATTTGAGGTATGCATTGTCTGACTTAATAGTTTCACTATTGTTAATTGTTCAGTAAGTGATTACAGTTTGCTGTCCATTTGCTGGAAGTAGTCTTCTCTAAACAATGCTGCCACCTTTTGTCTATGTGAGGAGTTTTGTCTCTGTTTAAGTGAGATGTAATCAATTTCAAAATTCCACCAAAACAAAACAAAAGTAACAGAACTTAATTGTAATTTGTGTATTTCCAGCAGTACTAATCAATTGAGAGTTACATAGACAAGCATTTTATTGACAAAACTATCGATATACGGGCAAAACAGCTCCGCTGTAACGGAACTCGGCCTGTGTATCATGACAAAATACTGCGGAATCTTTGTTACAATGCTAAAGAGAGAAATTGAGTCTTGATACAACATGCAAATACAGAGACATTAATGTAACAATGTTAATTGATTTCCTGAACATTTCAATGAAACTTCAATAAAAGCCTGACAACAGTAAGGTTTTAACTGCACCAGCATCACAATAATGAGAACATCTGACCATTTACAGCACTCAGTGAAAGCCATTTCTGGTGCCACATCAATAACAACAGAACATTACAACAGAGAAATACCAACAAAAAAATAAATGTATCGGGGAGAGAATGAATTGAATGTGTTTAGGATTAAAAGGAATCTCTGAGATTTCTGATGGTGATTTTCTGTCCCTTATTTACATAACAGAAACGATACCATTAATTCCGTCTAATTGGACACTCTTTGTTCATACTTCCAACCAGAGACCAAAAAGCCATGAATAAATCTAGGTCTGAAATTAAATACAAGAAAAATGAACTGTCAGATTCTACAATTACGAAGACAAAAAGTCTGCAATATTGTGGCACCAATCAAAGTGTCCAATCTTTGTGAAACAACCACAAAATGCAATGAAATCAGCAAACTCTGGTCTCCTGTACATTTTGGCCCCGTTAAATGAATTCATAAAAAGCCTGAGGATTATCTGAGAGTTCATTGGATAGAATATCTTCTCACAGGTTTTACAAACTGCAGAATTTGAGTACCCCTGGGAGATTGGAATCAAATTTTAAATGATAACTGCTGAATGATAAGAGAAGAAAGGAAATAAGGGCGGATTAATAGGGAAGCAAATGCTCCACTCTGAATACATAAGAGCTGTGTAATTGACTGATGCACTTTCCTCATCCAATGACTAAAGCCTGCAGGCAAGTGCTATTGCCGCTCTATACCCAGAAACCATATACTGCTCCTACATCCCAAAGGGCAAACCAATCCCGGTATAACAAACTAATTGAAGGGGACATCACTCTAGTAAACATTTTATGGTAACACTATACTCCTACTCTAAAGAAACACTCTGTACCAAATAAAATTAAATAATTAAAAGGGACATCACTCTAGCCTACATTTTATTAATTCCTATTTACTGAAACTCTACCTCTTATTTGCAAATGACAGATTCTGCACCAGAGACTAGCTTCTGTGTAGGCAATATAAGCTGTCAGGTTTAACCTTACATGGAGGCATCTAAATGCTCTAAATTTAAGGCACATCTATTTTAGGGTAGAATCTTGTCTCCTCTGATGGCAGTGAACTGACATTCGACACATAATAGTAAATTATTTTTATAGGCGTCAGGGTATAATCCGATTATCTCCCAGCATCCCCTGTAATACATACAGTATGGTCACGAAATCTTACAGTGGAGAACTTAATAAATATGAAAATATCAAACAAAACACTTAGAAGATTGAATTATCTTGTCTGTGTAACAACAAAGTTCTGCCTGCTGTCACATATAATGTCTCTCTTCCTTGTCTCCGTAACCTCTAATGGTTCTTATCAGAGTTCAAAATCTCCTTTTATTTGCGTTATGATTCACTCTGTAACATTACAGAAAAGGAGAATACTTTATAAGGATAACGATCACAGAATGTGAGTGGGTCACACAACATCTCTGTAAGAAATGCATTCTCCAGCCACTACCGGTACATATTAACTATCCTGATGTTTGTCACTTATAGCACTTATAAAACGGTACCAATGTTATAGCAGACTGTAGTTTACATTAAATGAATATAAAGAAAACTTGTAAACTAACCAATTGAAAATGTAAAAAATGTTGGTTGTACAGTTGGTAATTCAAAAATTTTTTTAAAAATTTGATCATTTCTGTTAGTGCAATTTCAATTTTGCAAGTGTCATTCACTGATCTGAATAAAAAATAATTTACATGTTGTAAATTTAAACCAACCCTACAAATTCTACCAAATTCAGACATATAACTAAAATTCTTAACAATACGGTACATAAGTAAGGGGGGGGGGTGCTGGGGGGGGGGGGGTAATAGAGGGGATTCCTACCTCTCTGAATTGTGATGCTCCCCATTAAGGAAGTGACTGGGGACTGTGTTGGAACACTGTGGTCTGATGGGTTGTGGACTGACTAGCTCTCCTGACCTTGACATTGGCACTGACCCTGACCTTGGCACTGTGCGTGGAAACCGAGGTTGTCCATCTGCAATAAACAAATCATAGAATGAATCTATAACATTTAAAATAAATTATCAGCTACATATGTGTGTATGAACCATTTCACTTTTTTGTATATGAATATCCAATAAATTTATTGTTTAGAATCACTTTTGACTGAATAGTTTTCTTTTAAGTAAATTATATTCAAGAATGCGGATAATAGTTTGGTACTGCAATTTAATTTTACCTGTTATTCATTCAATACTTAGTATACATACCTGGAATGAAGACATTGCCTGAGGCAGTCTGCTCCAAATAATGGGGTTCAAAATCACTCTCCTCCCCAGAATAAACACAAGGTCGCACCTGATGATAATGTTCACTATCTGAGCACGAGTGTCCTCTATGATAGGGGTTCTCAGTGTCTGAGTAATGTCCCCTTACATTGTGATGATTGTGCAATAATGCAGTGTTTGAGTCCACAAAATGTCCGCGACATTGACACATGTCAGCGTCCGAGTAGGTTCCTCGATATGACGGCCCCATACATCTGTTGAGCCTCTGTGGCACTGTTGTTTGATGTGGAATGTCTTCTATGGGTGGTGGTGGTGGAGGGGGGTTGAAACAGGGTGGTAGACCCCCTGGTGCTGTAGCTGAAAAGATTCAAATGTTGTTTTAAAGCCATTTGGCATAACAAAAAAATATTATGAGACTCTTGATATTTATAATTAAATTAACATTGTCTCATAAAAAAATAAAATATAGATTTTCCAGCAAAGAAAAAAAAAAATATCAAAGTAACAATGAAATATTAATTTCACAAAACATTGATATGCGCAATATTAACAAAGGTGTTCAGAGTCTTCGAATCTAATAACAGGAACCACTGACCAAGGAACTTTGTGGACAGCATGTCCAAATTGTCCAAACTGTCACTGTTCAGCAAGTGTGTGGAAGAAAACATTTTTTGGGATCTGATGATATTTACTCTGTAACCAGAACTAATACCAATCACAGAAACGGTCCCAAGTTCAGCTATCCCAGATCAATCCATCAACATGTAAATCCCGATAACCAATCAAAAGTCCCCTACACAATCTATCCCATCATCCCACTGCTTGACATCTTTCAATACCAACTCTTCACTGGACCTCTATATAAAAGCTTTTGCCACTGGAGCCAACCAGGATAGAAAATTAACTAAAGCAAGGACCGGACTTGATAGACACACATCTTTAAATGAGCCAGTCAAGACACTGTTTGAATACTTTTTGTAAATTTCTGTGAATCTTGACCAGTCATACAATGGATCAGTCTGGCCAACACCAAGTGTATAGTCCCTGCTCCATCAACTGACTGCAGCCAATAAAATATTTCTTTTTGACCAGGGAGATGACTCCCTTATTTGCAATATTTGATGGATACTCCACCATACTTAGTCCTAAGGGACACAAAAATAACTTTTCCAATTTGCCTTGTAGTGCAAACAAAGAGATGAGTTGTTAGAAATGGCTGCTGTTCAAGGAAAGCTGACATTTTCTTCTTATTTATGGAAATCAACATGTCTGTTTCCCAAATCAATAAAACCTACTCACACTTTCACCAATTTCCAAGACCCTGTGTGTGGGTAGAGGTCAGTAACTTCACTGCTATCAAAATTTATTTCTTTGTTTTCCCCTTTATTTTACACTATAGTAATTGGTTTAGACAGTAAAATTAGTTAAAATATAAAAAGTAAAATCTTCAACAAAGGTTTAATAAATGACTGTTAAAGTATCTTCTATTGCTTTCTTAATGCCAAGTTCAAAAACAGCATCTCACTTTAGACTGATGAAATGTCACATTTGTGATATTGTAATACATCTATCAAGAGTAATATTAAACAGAATACATATACCTATCAAAGATCGGCTGTCATATGTGATACAAAGCAATACTTTTGTCTGATTGGCTGTCAAAATTGGAGACAACAAATCCTGGTTTATGATTGGTCAGACAGTCTGGACTGTCCAAGTTTTGACAGCCACTTCTGATAAGACAGATCCATCAAGCCTGTTCTGCCAGGCTTGACGACTAGGGTCTCGCTGCTGGTCTTTGCTTGACGACTAGGGTCTCGCTGCTGGTCTTTATCATCAGTTTCACACCTCATCAATCAACCCAGTTGTCAATACTTGTAATAAGGTTTCATATCAACAGATATATATCAATGAAATTATACAGTGGTTGGGACCATAACAAAATTACCCTAATTATGTCAGAGGTGTATGAACTTCTACAATTGGGATAAGCCTGGCACCAATATTTTCCTGGCTGAGTAGTACATTATTTCTGGGACTACTACATTTTCTTTAACCTCCTTGTAGCAATGTTTGCATGTTTTAAGTCATTCTGTCAGTGTTGGGTTTTCTCTAAATGGGCAACTCAAACTAATAACTGGGGAGCGTGGCTTGGACTACTATTTCCCTTTCCATGTTTTTAAAACAGGCACAAGGCTTGATGATGAGGGAATGTCATGCAAATTTTCTACCACTCTGGACTAGCCTTTTGGGAGCTCTCAAGGAAAGTCTTTGCCGGCAGTGAGTCTATCAGACACTAACTCTATCAAACCCATACTAAAGTAAGACTGTTAGGATCATATTTCATAGCAATATTAAAACAATTCCTAAAATATTGACAATAGAGGATACTTGTTAACTTCTCCCTTAACATGTGACAAATAATATTTGTTTTACTTCGTGCATTTCATCAAGTTTTATCAACCTTTTAGTTTAGAGCATATGTCATTAGTCTATATATTACACAGTGATTGGGAAGGGCTTGCACCATGTGCCATAGTCACATCAAAGTGAAAATTGGCACATTAAATCAACCATTGGCGGCACCAAAGTGGGCATTCAATTTTTAGCGATGTTAGTTTGAAATATTTTGCGTATAACTTTCTTACTTGTTTTACTTTCGTTTTAAATGCAGTCATGTGTCATTTTAATACAACAAATCTCATTGGTTAAAACCCATTAAAATCTGCTTCCTATTATATGAAGCCTCAATGCGTTATTGATCCAAAAATACGGGTAAATTATATTGTGTGCGTGTTCCTTTAAATGTGCTGCACTGCATATGAGATTTGGTTAATAAAAAACGTTTTCTTTCGTACTCCATATTTGTTTGTCATTTTGTTATTTCTTATAAATGGCTCTGGTGGCACATTCATTTTCAAAATGGCCCATTAAAAAATTTTGACATTTAAGCCATAGTCCCATTGACCTTCATGGCCTTCCCAATCACTGATTACATGCTGTCCAAAAATCTGTTACCTGCATGATGGAATTTATTTTGGCCATGCGGTGAGTGAACATGGTGATTTTGGTTGTCGGGGTCAGAGTCTGATCTGGATACAACTTCATTTCGCATAGAATGCATATTGTCCATTTCATTGGATGAAATTGAGCACTGTGACCCCTGATGATTGACACTAAGGGAGGCGTGTTTTGTGGACACGGAGAGATTCTGTTCCGATTCTTCCCCCTCGGAACCCTCTCGGTATGTGTAGAAGCGAGGGGTTTTGTTGTTATTTTTGGAACACATCATGTGAACCTTTTGGTCCATGGCTGTTAGCTCAACATGCTCTTCAGGGGTTAGACCTTTATAAACAGAGAAAGCAAACTAAAAAACAGCAAGGAAACAAAACAAAAATAAAAATTCATCATCATTATCATCAAACTGTATTAGTTCTGTTGGGATAAAGAGATGAACAATTATAAAATGAAAAGATGTCTCTACTTTTAATCTTTGAATGTCAAAAGAGCAGGATGAAAATGACAATGATGATGTTAAAAAAAAGATTGAAAATGAACAAATGGATCACATAAAAAAAAACATGCAAGCAAAACAAAGGTTAAACAAATAGAGTTGTCTTTCTTTGGTCTTAGCAAAATCTCTCTGCGTGTCTTGAGAGATTGTATTGCAGAAACTTATTCATTTAGCATTATTTTTTTTTCTTCTAAAAACTTAAATATCATGACCTAATGCTATAATAAAACAGGGACATAATTGTACAACATGTTTTCCATTCTCAATTCTTTGTACTCAAAGCTGCAGCAGATAATTTACTAATTTGTAATTAAACACTAGTGACTAAGTAGTTAGAGCTATGCTACTAGTAATTAATTACATGGACTTATGCTGCCATTGAAAATAGAGACCCTGAAATGAGATTGGAAGAGTTCTCTCAGATTGCAGCATTCCCCACAGACTGTGTCAACACAGAGAGACAATAGAACTAACAATGGCTATCTGAGTGGGGAATATGGAATACGTTATCATTCCATCTCTCTGGACAATCCAATCTCAGCACCGATGATGTCGCCAACAGTATCTGATGTTGCTGGCATTCAAAAATCTGCTCTAGGACAATACCCACAATGCACCTCTGTATTGTATCCCAGGACATCCATCATATGTTATCAGAATCCTCTAGTCCATTAAAATCTACTTAACAAAAATCCTTGAAAGTTTTCAATGTAAATCGCAAAAACATCTATTGGTTGAAATATCATCTCAAAATATTATATTTATTGGTTGAAAAACAATTTCTTTTACCCAGTATCTACAGGCTATAACTGTATTATACTCAGTGACTCGCTACTGAATTTGTTTCATCAGCTGTTGAAGATAAAATGTCTTACACTACTAACTAATAAACCCTCTAAACAAAAATTGTATGATATTATCTACTCATTTTATAAATAATTTGTGTGAGTTTATGCCAAAACCTAGAATGAATATTAACCAATTTTCTTCATGGCTTTCCCGAAATATGTTTTCTTGATGCAAAATCAATGTCACATTGCTTCAATAGATACAAAGATTAGAGTGAAATTGCCAGCAGCTTGTTGTTCCTGAAAACACGGTCTATTACTGCTTTATCAGTATACTCCTAAATGTTCCTTTCTAAATTCATCTTAAATGCTTTCTCCTCTCAACTCCAACATCAGAGGCAGAATCAATACAGCCCCAATGAATTCTTAATGTGCGTGTTTACCATTTTATACAGAAAGGTTTATTGTTTTTAATTGTGACCATCATTGGAGCGTAAATCTTTATAAATGATATACCAATGTCATTACTGATAACACAAGTCTGCAGACATTAACCAAAGCTCACCAGCTCCCAACAATAGAGCTTATCACTCAGAAAGAAAACGGTCCTAATTACGTGAAAATGGTGATAGCCATATCAGAATTTCAAACTTTGCTATCACCTCAGTTCATCTTTGTAACACCCATGATAATTGCTTGGAGCATCCTTTGGAAAAGAAGGGAAGATCTTTAACTGTTATCATCCTAATAGGGCTGTGTCACTAAAAACAACTTGATCAAATTCTGAAATGTTGTAAATTATCGCTGCAGAGAAAAGATAAAAAAAAAGAACTTTTATTGTGGAGTTCTTTAATACCGGTACAAAGTTCAAACTCAGTGACACAAGGTCAAAAGGTGAATGGCTTACAAAAATGTCACAAAATTGGATACATAGTTATCATAAAGGTTTAACTCCATAAGAATTTTTTTTAAGATTTCCAATACCGGTAAAAGAAATAAAAATTACTTATCTTCCAATAACTCATCATTTTAGATCTTGTACAATATTTTAAAGTAATGAATAAAAGGTGAAATCCACCTGGAAGCATAAGGTCAATGTAGATTTACAGTTCATATGAAGACTTGATGGTGTACCTGCCAATATCTACTGAATCGACTATGATGGTTGTATATGTCGAAGATGATGTGTCCATAACCCCTAAATTTTCTGGATCCCCTGATTATGAGCACACCTGATACGGGCCATAAAAAACCTATCATCTAATCCCTGCTTCATGTATACAGAAGATATACAGGTCAGGTGTATAAACAAGCCAGGTATCTTGGTGTAGTTATATTGGCAGCCTCCAGCCATTAATCTTCCCCTGATCATGTCCCTCCACAAACAGGGAGGGGGGAGGTTGGCGGGCGCAACATAAACACTGACCAAAGCAAATTCCAGTCATACTTCTACAAAAGTTAATTCACGTTACTGCAGGAGACCTCTAAATGCCATCCACTGAAGACAAGAAGTTAACCTTTATACTAATCTATGGATTCATTTTCAAATTCATTTCATATTATTTGTGTTTATAAAATACCAATAAAATGGCATGTTGTTTTTTTTCTATGGGCATGAATAATAAATATAGCAAGTTTCACTTACAGATTATAAAAGAAATTTTTAATTCAATTGAACAACAATTCCAGAATATAGCAGCACAATCAAATTAGGCTTCACCGTAGTTTATGGGCCTGTAAGACCATTAGAATGGCTGACACATCTAAAATTTCCCAATTCAAATCTCAATCATAAGACATTTCTATTTCATCAGAAATAGGGACATTTGATTGCTGGCAATAATCTCAAAATCACATTTGTTCTGGTTCTGTGAGCCCAATTACTCCAGCAATCAATAACACAGGTTTTAAATCAAGGTGAAGAACTTAAAGCATCACAGAATGATGTGTATCTAAGTTATAATCAACTTATTTGAAATAGATTAACAACCTAAAAGTAAAGTACCACAGTCAATTATAAAAGGGGGTTTAACACCACAGAAGAGCCAGAAATTACAGCTATAGTTGTCCAAACTGACACAAGTGGATGCCAGAACTCATTGCAACATTTTCAAGACATGAAAATGACATTTCCTGCATCCCTGAACTTCCATAATCAAACCAGTTTTATGATGGCAGAAAATTGACTATGGTCAATAAAAAGCTAGTACTGACCATCAAAAGACCTTCTGAATTGTCAGAATCTCTCACTAACTTACACACTCCAACCATTAAACAGCCACTCTCAGGTCAGCTGACAGACAAGCTTTTCTGATTTTACTGGTCCAGCAATCATAGAAACTGCAGCTCTTGGAAATCATAAAAGTCAAACATCATTGAAAGGCAGGCACGACAGAGCACAGACTCTATCCATTAAAACACTTCCTTCTTTCTCTGCAATTTGACAATGACGAAATATGCTCACTTAAAGTTCTTACTATTCAGATCGGCATGACCTAAATGTACAGAGGTGACCCTAACTTTGTATAGGCACATGTCTAAGATGTTTGTTATGTCTACACACAATGACTTCCTTGTGAAACACTTACCTAACCCATTGAGCTTTTTGTCCTGGTGTGCGACCTTCACCTCCTCGTAAGGACGTAAATTGTCATCAGAATGGAATTCTTCATCTGATGAACAACTGCCTGGACTACTATTCATGCGATTGTCCTTCAGACATCTTTTTCTCTGTGACTGACCTTGACCTTTTGGTCTATAATTATAATTACTGTCCATCACAGGGCCTGTTTGTGCCTGCATTTATAAGGAGCTGTGTATTCCTTCAACTCTCACAAGTCAATCAAGTCATTCTGGGTGTTACTCCATCTGTAAGTAGATAAAGATGATGAAAATCAAAGAGTCTTATGATTTATTGTATGTGATTTTTAACCTCATAAAACAAAATAAAAAATAATTAAACTGCATGTGCAGTAATATTTTTGTGATATGATGGCCAGTCAGTATGACAGTATTGTTTTCTGTTGTTTACAGCTCACATACAGATGATGGGAGCCCACACACCACCAACAAAAACACCACTAACTGCAGGTTTACATTTAATAAGAAACATTACACTTCTAAGGTGAAAAGTGCAGATTTTCAGATAGCTGTATTCTGATAAAGATTGAAGCATGGTGATCTAACAAAACATAGGTTACTAAAATACCAATCAAACAGCAATGAATTAACAGATAACTAATGCCCTATATCCTCAGCAAACATCAAGCCAAGTCAAGCGTTATTTCTCTGACCGATTCACCAGATCCTTGATTTTGAGTTGAAGTACAAATTCATTACTATAATTGATCAATGCTTTTCCATCAGCTACTGGTTTAACCAGTCTTTAGTCAATAAGTTCAACAATACAGAAAGGCAGATTGGGCCTTACACACAAGTTTTGTCCACGTACGATTCAATTACAACAAGCACTGGTTAGACATCTATGTTCCATTGGAATCTTTGTATCAGAGAAAAAATACTCACTGAAAAAAGGAGACCAATTTACATAGCTCGACGACTGACCAAATCAATATCTACAAAGATTACATGAAATACAATCACTTTTGCCTTTCAGGATAAAATTACTAAATTCCCTGTGGCCTTCTGCAAACTGCAAACTTAGGTTTTCTACATATAAGACCATGCAAGTCCATCAAATTAAATATGACTTCTTGTCAGCAGTTACTCCATAAAGTAAGATACAAAGAGAAATACTGCAGTTGGATTAAGCTATGATATTGTTTTTTTCTACAAAGCCCCCCCCCCTTTCCCCCAATTCATTTTACTCTTATCATGCAGTTAATAAAAACATTTAAATTGGACCAATTGGCATTATGCTAATAATTTTGTTTTTCAATGTTCTATAACTAATATTTCTTATTTCACCATGTTTACAACCCTAACCTACTTAAGAGCAGCAAGGCCCTCGTCATCTCTCTCTTCACGGTATTTCATGAAGATGCTTCATCTATACAGTGTATACACTTGATTTTTGTTTGACAATTAATTAAATACAAAATCTTGAAGAAAAAAAAATCCAATTATTTTCAGATAATTCAAAGTTAAGCTGGAAAAAAGAAAAGATAAACCAACCTGGACTAGCAATATGACATTACTATTAAACAAAGAAACTGCTAATTTCCTTGATTGCAGTCAGAGACCATGCTCACATCCTGAATGATCTTTAACAAAGTATTGGACTGTACCTCTGGCCTGAATTAATGTCAACCTTGTAATTAATTATACTGACATACTCCCCTCATCAAACGACTTCAGCCCATGCTGTGTGTGTGTGGTACTGTCTTACCCCACAATGCTTACACTGACCAACTGCCAGTCTATAATTAATGCAGGTCTGCATTATACCTAGTATTTACAGGAAAATACTTTCTTGTTTATAAATTTAGCTGAAGCTTCATCCATCAATGGTTTCAGTAGTCTATGATCTTCACTGGTTCCATATGGGTTCTATCTTGGGTCATTAAGTGAACCTGACTTTAAACACTGTGTTTGTTTGGATGAGCAGGCGAAATCAAATCGCCCTGGAGTCATTTGTCCAACTGAGGCAATGAATGATGCTAAAAGTCTGTTAAACTGGAGAAATATTAGAATTATAAATGTTATGACAACAACCGAGTGATAAATGGCTAGACATAATCTAATGATGAAAACATACAAGAAAATGTTTATAAATACACAGGCTCTGTAGCCATTTATCTCCCAATGTGTCATAACTTTCTCAAACATAAGAAATTTGCTGTTTCAGTTACAACTAGAGCAAGGGAAAACTTTTTTTTCAGTAGTTTATGATTCATTTATGCTACATGGTTTACAAGCTACTTGCTAACTCAAAGTGACAAATTATTGACCAATCAAAACCCCTGAGACATCTCATCAATTGGAAGTGGACGTTGTATGGTGTACAATGAATTCAGGTTTGGTAACATCAGATGTCCCCTAGGACCTTGTGTTTGACATGGACCAGTCAATCATTTTCCTGTTCTGTTCCAATTACCTCTGGAGGATAATAATTTTAGAGATGCCAGAACAATACCCTGCAAAATTCTGGGATTCAATCAACTTTCATTTTCATCACTGTCCATCACTGGGCTTAGAGGTTTGCCAGATAAATGTGCAAATGCTGTTTGGGGGCTGTAACAGAGAAACATTATTTACATTTTCTGTTGCTCCATCACTTTGTCTGTTTTTGTCTGCTATGCTTGTCAGAGTTCTGTCTCATTTCTATCATGAAGTACATCATTTCTTCAGAAGTAATCTCACTGCTCCAAGGAAAGGAAAAAAAATCAATGAGAGAGCAATCCATTTACTTATCTTTCTGTATTCCACTTTATTTCAATTCCAGTGAATGAAGCAAACTCTTCTCAGAACATGTCAATGCAAGACTTTTATCCTAGAAAAATGACTTTCCAGTTGAAGGAAGGTTTGGATTGTTCTACAAATAATTATTTGGCACTTTTTTTTTTTCCTAGAGAAGTTTGATGTCGTCTATGAGCTTCTACAAAACTGAGGTAATCTGTGTATATATAGAGAGATCTCTACAGTCTTCAAAGTTAATAGCGTCTAAATAATAGAATTTTTTTTTATTTCAGTTGAACAGTTGTATTTTTATGTTTATTAGAAAAAAGATTTTTCAATGATACATTAATATCAGGTGGATCTTGAACTTAAACTGACCACAAATCTGTTTATTATATTTTACATATCTAACCCCACTGGACATTTTCTGTTTTTCTCTGGGGTATCCTTTTCCATTGAGGGAACTTTTCTCAGGGAGATTGAATAAACATATAACACATGTTATACAAACCCTCCTTCTGCAGAAAGCAGTGCAATGGCCAGAATTATCACAAAGATCTGTCCCGACACACACAAGGGCCTTGTCTGGAGGAGTTATCCCCCCTGTCTGTTCCCCGATAGTCATCACAACATGACAGACCTCTGAGGTGACAGAGATTTTATATGACATGAACAAGGACACCAGTGACTGGTTACAGATGTGGGGGGTTTGTATTAAACACACACTCAGGATCTATGATAAATGTTTACAGAGAAGCAAAATTAAGAAATATCCATCAAAGATAGCCTTCACTTTAATGAACTGCTCATGGTTAACGAGTACTGATGTGAAACCTGAATTTCTCATTATCCATGATTATCACTTTACCTATCTGAGAAAAGGAATAGCTACAACAATTTCATTTTTTTTATTTTCCAAAGGAGAAGAAAGGATTTCATAATCAATCCTAAACTTTATGAACATCTAGATAATTGAGTCTGACTATACAATGTCAGTTAAAACACAGTTTAACTTGCATCTATGTGAAAATTCTACACTGCAATAGCAATCTTGAAGTCAATATCATAAAAGAATTTCACAAAGTATTGCGTAGATAATGAAGCATTTTTAACAACTTAAAGATACCACATCTTGCAACAAAAAGAACATAAAAGACCATGGATTCCAGACCTCTGGAGTATAAGCGTCTACAAATGCCGTCAGAATGGAGATTTTCTCTCCCTTCTGCTTGGAGACCACCTATCAATAAAGCTACTATATAGTACCTATATCCCAGCTTAATGAGCTCTAAAATCAATGTGCCACACTATAGCTGCTGGAAAATTGAGCAATCATTTGTTATAGAAGAAGCTCCATTTACCAGCATTTCCCATAAGCCTTGGAACTTTTATTCAGCTTTACGGGAACTTTGCATTCAAGACATTTTAAGTCTATACGGCAAATGAGCAGTAAATTCACTACAAAGAGAACACTAATGTATATTTGAAAAGTGATAAGTAAATTCACTATAATGCTTTTCTGGGGGGAAGTGATGCAGAAATAATGCATTTACCAGGGATATTTAATAAAAGATAATAAACCCAGCAGCAAATTAGATTAATGCTGTGTATTTATGTTGTTTATAGGTGACATTAATTTGGTAAAGAACTCAAGTCTCTGCTGCAAATTTAAAGTACATTTGAATACTTGGTAAGGAAGCAGACATGCTCTGAAGTGAACATACTCTGGAGACTTTGGGTGATAATGGGAAGTGATTCCTCCATCATCACGAACAAACCCCTCCAGGTCTGCATTTTCAAGTTCCTAATGCAGGGATATTACAACTGATGACAGAGGTATAAGCCTAAAAGTCAAATGCCTCCAGAACTTTGGCAAAGTAAAATTTTTCCTGTAAAATCCCTGTCTCATATATCAGACCTGATTTCATGCTAGAACAGCTAACAATATTTCATAGCATTGTTCTAATCAGAAACCCTAAGCCTGTTAGATCTGACAATTTCTGAGGATTTATAGTCTAGAAATTCTTCCATGTTTTTGCCTATTAACTGTTATCAATACATCTTAGGTCAATATTACACACATAAAGCTGCAGGAAATCCTGGAAATTTATTTGTTCTCTTCTTCCATTATTTCCCCTGCATCATGTGGAAGAAATATTTGTCCCACCACAAAACCAGAAACTGAAAGTCACTCTGCCCGAAGTGTTATATGTGAACAGAGCCTTGTTACATGTGAATAAAGACTTGGCCTGGCCTATATACTTACCATGTGATTTAGTCATTAGTTAGCCTGATTTCAGACAATCTTAGCTAGGATGACATGAGGTCCAGCTGTTTAAAATAGAGGAGATCTACAATTTTCTCTGGAGCCCTGCTGATCTAACTCCACTAATCACTGATATTGTGTATCATTTCCTGGTTCCTAGCTGCTAAAATTTCCTTTCCAGTTCCTGAGAAACACTCAAAGGAAACTCTCACTTGATCTTGTATAGGAATACTTGAGAATGGAT